GTACTCTGTATTATTTCTTTCTAGGAGCTCACTGTTCCTGATAGTTCATCCTCTTTAACTTCAAGAGTCTTGGAAATACGAATTCTCCCATAATACTCCACCTGATTAGGCAATTCAAATGGTTATCTCCTTTTTGGTTTCTTCTACTTTTATTTTAACTTCAGGGGTACCTGTGCAGGAAGTGCAGGTTTCTTACACAGGTAAGTGTTTGCCATGGTGGTTTGTGGCACAGATCATCCCATCACCTAGGTATTAAGCCAGCATTCATTAGCTATTCTTGCTCATGCTCTCCCTCTCAGTAACCCCCTTCTGACAGGCCCTAGTGTGTCTTGTTCCCCATGATATGTCCATGTGCTCTCATCATTCAGCTCCCTCTTATAAGAGAGAATGTGCAGTATTTGGTTTTCTGTTCCTCTGTTAGTTTGCTAAGGATAACGGCTTCCAACTCCATCGATGTCCCTGCAAAAGACATGATCTCATTTCTTTTTATGGCGGCATATAATTCCATGGTGTCTGAGAGACTGTCATGATTTCAGTTCTTTTGCACCACATTTTCTTTATCTAGTCTATCATTGATGGGCATTTAGGTTGATTCCATGTTTCACTATTGTGAATAGTGCTGCAATGAACATACACATGCATGTATCCTTATAATAGAATGATTTATATTCCTTTGGGTGTATACCTCATAATAGAATTGCTGGGTGAAATGGTATTTCTGCCCCTAGGTCTTTGAGGAATCACCACTCTGTCTTCCACAATGGTTGAAGCAATTTACACTCCCACCAACAATATAAAGTGCTCCTTTTTCTCTGCAACCTTGCCAGTATCTGTTGTTTTTTGATTCTTTAATAAAAGCCATTCTGGCTGGCATGAGATGGGAATCTCATTGTGGTTTTGATTTGCATTTCTCCAATGATCAGTGATGTTGAGTTATTTTTTTAAATGTTTGTTGGCCACATGTATGTCTTCTTTTGCAAAGTGTCTGTTCATGTCCTTTGCCCATTTTTTAATGGGGTTTTCTGTTTTTATTTTTTTTCTTGTAAATTTGTTTAAGTTCTTTTCAGACTCTGGATATTAGACCTTTGTCAGATAGATTGCAAAAGAGTTTCTCTCATTCTGTAGCTTGTCTGTTTACTCTGATGATAGTTTATTTTGGTGTGCAGAATCTCTTTAGTTTAATTAGATTGCATTTGTCAATTTTTGCTTTTGTTGCAATTGCTTTTGGCATGCTCATCATGAAATCTTTGCCTGTGCCTATGTCCTGAATGGGATTGTCTACATTTTCTTCTATGGTTTTCATAGTTTTGAGTTTTACATGCAAGTCTTTAATACATCTTGAGTTAATTTTTGTATATGGTGTAAAGAAGGAGTCCAGTTTCAATTTTCTGCTTTTGGCTGGCCAGCTCTCCCAGCACCATTTATTAAATAGGGAGTTTTTCCCCATTGTTTATTTTGTCAGGTTTGTCAAACATCAGATGCTTGTAGGTGTGTGTAGTATTACTTCTGAGTTCCCTATTTTGTTCCATTGATCTATGTGTCTGTTCTTGTACCGGCACCATTCTGGTTTTGGTTATTGTAGCCTTCGAAGCATAGTTTGAAGTCTGGTAGCATGATTCCTCTAACTTTGTTACTTTTGCTTATAATTTTCTTGGCTATTCACACTCTTTTTTTGGTCCAAATAAATTTTAAAATAGTTTTTTTTTCCTTCTAATTCTGTGAAGAATGTCAATGGTAGTTTAATGGGAATAGCATTGAATCTATAAATTACTTTGTACAGTATGGGCATTTTCACAATATTGAATTTTTCCTAACTATGAGCATGGAATGTTTCTTCATTTGTTTGTGTCTTCTATCATTTCTTTGAGCAGTGGTTTGAAGTGGGGCTTTAGTGCAATACATTTTCCTCTTAACGTTGATTTATCTGTCCCAGAGAATCTGGTACATTGTCTCTTTGTTCTCAATAGTTTCAAACAACTTCTTGATTTCTGCCTTAATTTTGTTATTTACCCAAGTCATTCAGGAGCAGGTTGTTCAATTTCCATGTAGTTGTGTGGTTTTGAGTGAATTTCTTGATCTTGAGTTCTAATTTGATTGCACTGTGGTCAGAAACTGTCATGATTTCAGTTCTTTTGCATTTGCTGAGGAGTGTTTTACTTCCAAATATGTAATCAATTTGCATAAGAGCCATGTGACAGTGAGAAGAATGTATTTCTGATGTTTTTGGGTAAAGAGTTCTATGGCTATCTATCAGTTCCCCTTAATCCAGAGATGAATTTCGGTCCTGAAGATATTTGTTAATTTTCTGTCTCAATGATCTTTCTAATATGGTCAGTGGGGTATTAAAGTTCCTCACTATTATTGTGTGGGAGTCTAAGTTTTGTAGGTTTCTACAAACTTACTTTATGAATCTGGATGCTACTTTATGGGTTGCATATATATTTGGCATATTCGATTCAACAGGAAATTGCATATCCTGTTGAATTGAACCCTTTACCATTATGTAGTGCCCTTCTTTGTCTCTTTTGTTCTTGGTTGGTTTAAAGTCTATTTTGTCAGAAACTAAGATTGCAACCCCTGCTTTGTTCTGTTTTCCATTTGGATGGTAAATTTCCTGCATCCCTTTATTTTGGACCTATGTTTGTCTTTGCATATGAGATGTGTCTCCTGAAGACAGCATATCAGTGTGTCTTGGCTCCTTATTCAGTTTGCAATTTGGTGCCTTTTAATTAGGGCATTTAGCCCATGTACACTTAAGTTAGCATTGTTATGTGTAGTTGGATCTTGTCATTACTATGCTAGCTGGTTATTTCACAAACTTGTTTATGTGGTTACTTCATACTATCACTGGTCTATGTACTTCAGTGTGTTTTATAGTGGCTGGTAACAATTTTTTTCTTTCCATATTTGGTGCTTCCTAAAGAAGCTCTTGCAAGGCAGTCCTGGTGGTGACAAATTTCCTAAGCATTTGCTTGTTTGAAAAAGATTATATTTCTCCTTCACTTATGAAGCTTAGTTTTGTCAGACACTAAATTCTGGGTTGGAAATTCTTTTCTTAAGAATGTTGAAATGTGGCTTCCAACCACTCTGCCTTATAAGGTTTCCACTGAGAGGTCTTCTGTTAGTCTCATAGGCTTCCCTTTGCAGGTGACCTGGCCATTCCCTCTGGCTGCCCTTAACAATTTTTTTCATTTCAACCTTGGAGAATCTGATAATTATGTGTCTTGGGGTTTATCTTCTCATAAAGTATCTTATTGGGGTTCTCTGCATTTCCTGAATTTGAATGTTGTCATGTCTTGCTAGGTTGGGAAAGTTCTAGATCATATCCTGAAGTATGTTTTCCAACTTGGCTACATTATCCATATCTTTTAGGTACCCAAGTCAGTCATGGGTTCAGCCTCTTTACATAATCCCATATTTCTTGGGGATTTTGTTCATTCTTTTTTGTTCTTTTCCCTCTATTCATGTCTGCCCATCTTATTTAAGAAAGATAGTGTTCCAGCTCTGAGATTCTTTCCCCTACTTGGTCTGTTCTCCCATTGATACTTGTGATTGAACCATGAAGTTCCTGTGTTGTATTTTTCAGCTCCATCAGGTCGATTATGCTGCTGTCTGAACCGGTTATTCTGGCTGTTGGCTCCTGTATTGTTTCATCATGATTGTTAGCTTTTTTGTGTGTTGGGTTACAACATGCTTCTTTAGGTCAGTGAAGTTCATTATTATCACCTTCTGAACTCTACTTCTGTCAATTCAGTCATTTCAGCTTCAGCCCAATTCTGTGTCCCTGCTGGAGAGGTGTTATCATCACTTGAAGGAGAAAAGGCACTCTTGATTTTTAAGTTTTCAACATTTTTGTGTTGATTCTCATTTTTGTGAGCATATACCTTCAATCTTTGAGGTTGCCGACCTTTGAGCTGGATTTTTGGAGGGTCTTTTTCATTGAAAGTGTTCCTGTTGTTGTTTTCTGTTCGTTTGTTTTCTTTTAACAGTCATGCCACTTTATTGTGGGGCTGCTATGGTTTGCTAGAAGTCCATTCCAGACCTTGGTTGCCTCGTTTTTTTTTCCCATGCTGACAGTATCATCAGTGAAGGCCATGAAACAGCAAAGATGGCAGCAGGATTGCTGGCCAGAACATGCCTGTGGGAGGTGGCTGGAGACCCCTGTGGGAGGTCTCACCCAGTTGGGATAAACAGGATCAGGGACCTGATTAAAGAAGCAGTCTATCTGCTTTTTGGTAGAGCAGATGCACTGCACTGAGGGGAGACTTTCTCATCCAGATCACTTGGATTCTACAAAGTCAGCAGGTTGTAAGGACTGAGTTGACCAAACTGTGGAGATAGAGGCTGCCCCTGCCTGCCAGGAGCTGCATCCCACGGAGAGATCAGAGCTCTCAGTATAGAACCCTAGCTGGAATTGTTGAAGCCTCTGCAGGGAGGTCCTGCCCAGTGAGGAGGAAGGGATCAAGGTTTCACTTAAAGAAGCAGTCTGGCCATGATCTAGCAAGGTGGCCGTGCCTCATTATGGGGATCTTTCCTCATCCAGACCATTTGTATTCTCCAAAGCTGGCAGGTTAAAACAGCTGAGTCTACTGGTCTGCAGACTTGGTGGCCACCCCTTACCCTGGGAATTCAGACTTGTCTCAGGGAGATTCTAGCCTGTTTCCATTGGCTCTCTGGAATTTCAAGCCAGTGGGTCTTAACTTGTGAGGTGCTGTGGAAGTAGGGCCTGCAGAATGATGCTGCTTGGCTCCCTGGATTCAGCCCCCTTCCTAGGGTTATATGCAGACAGATTTCCCACCTTGCTGGGGATCTGGGGGTGGAATGTGTAAAATACCTGGGTCTCTGTGTGTGCATGAGCACCTGCTCTGCTAAGACTCCACACAGCTCTGTGTATTGGATCCAAGGCCCTGTTGCTGTGGGCTTGTGACGGGATCACCAGATCCATGGGCTGCAAAGATCTGGGGAGAAGTGTGATTACCTGGGGAGGGTCGCACACTAACCCACTGCTTTTCTTGGCTGGGGGTGGGCGTTTCTTTGGCTCTGTGCTGCTCCCAGTGGGCCATCGTGCCTCCAAACCCCTGCTTTTCTTTGTTCGCTGCAGGTCAAGTTGTTTGCATAGTCAGTCCCAATGTAAGAACCTGAATATTTCAATTGACAGTGATAAATTTACTCACCCATTTCATTCCTCTCCCTGAGTGCCACAGACCAAAGCTGCTTCTAATTACTCATCTTATAGACCCTGAATAGTTATCTTCTTACTGTCTAGAAGATTTAATATTGGGTTTGACCCTGCATTAAAATTTTTTTTCACTAGTGAAGGAAATGTTTGTAATCATCCAAGATTTTAGAAAATATCCAGACAAGAGTAGCTATTATTGTATAGCTAAGTATATGATGGAAAACCCCAAAACTTGCAGCTACATAATGCAAAATACGAATTCTGTATTTGAATTGAGAAGCGAACACAGTAATATGTTTGTCACTAAACCCAAATAAGTCTGTTGGATGTTACCAGTCCATAATTAGAATAATCTACTGGCAATATTAAAAGGACACATCTATTTTACATGAAAAGTAATTTCCCTGTATATCACATATTTTGGGAAAGGACACTGTTGAATTTGTGCTTATGTGTCCAAGAATGACCAAAGATTGGTGAATCAACCTCAGTAAAAGCCAATGACCACTCTGGGAAGTGACTCAGAGGCACCAGAAATAGTTCATAGGATTTGATATGCAAACAGGAACTGCAAAGCCCATGGTATCTTCAAAATACAAAAATGTTTAAAGACCGTGGTATCTTCAAAATTGCAAAATTGTTTAAAGAATTACTAATTCAAGATAGTAAACTGAGTACCTTACCATACAAGAGAATAAAAAATAACAATAAAATGCTGAAAGTAGAAAATATGTTTTCAGAATCAGAAATGTTAAGGGCTTCTGGAGGTTTGAAAGCTGCTGGAACTTGTGCTCATGTGAAAATCAAAATAGAAAACAGAACGAAGACCCCAGAGTTGAGCAGCACTCTTCATTAAAAGAACAAGCTTGGAATTAGTAATGGTCTATGGGATTATGGTTAGGACAATTTTAAGAAATCGATACTGCAGTATAGAGTATATCAATTGATACCTGCACAGTAATGCTATATAACAAGCCTCACTCAAGTCTCACTGGTTAAAGCAATAATCATTTATTATTGCTCATGATTTCGGTGTTAAGTAGACAGTTCTACAAGTCTCAAAATAGTTATGATAATATCCCTTTGTTGGATATTTACTTTACAAATGTTTTATCCATTGCTGTGGTTTCTTTTTCGTCCTGTTAACAAGGTCTTTTACAAATTAAGTTGAAACAGGAGAATTCCCTTATTCCCCTCACAGGGCATGTGACAGGGGTGTGATTCATTCCTTTGATGCCCTCATGCTGAAATCCCTAGAGGGAGCATGTAGACGGGCAGGTAGAGAGACCTCGGGATGCTTCTGGGCTCCCATCCCATGGCAGCATCTAGGGCTCCCAAAGCCCAAACGGGCAAGTGTTACAGTGCACTCTTTCAGTTTTGTCCGCTGCAGACAGCTTGTATCAGTCAACTCAGTAGACCCTCTGCTTATTGCAAGGACAAGGGGCCAATGTGTCAGCCTGAGTTTTTTCCCAGCATACTGGAAGAATCAGATCATATGTGGAATGAAAGGTTGAGTGCAAGGGAAGGTTGAACAATACTACTATCTTCATTCTCTCCTAATTCTGAGTTGCAAACAGAAATTTCCCTCACAAGTTTTCTGGATTGTAAAAGAAAGTTCTTTACTACGATTGTGGACATTCCTTTATAATGCCAATTTCGACTTTACATTTATTTAGGGATTTTTTCATTACTCCTAAAGAGTGTCTCAAATGTAGCTGTAGCAAGCAGGTTAGTACATTAGAGGTAAGCTACCTGGCCCCGAATCTGAGGATCCATTTGTCTCTATTCTGCATAAGAAGAGCTGGGCACTGGCTAAAGGCAATGCACACTCACAGAGCACTGATGAGGCCTCCTCATAAGTATCCACACTGGGGTATCTAAAAGCAGAGGCATGTGCAGTCTTCTGTTGCCCTGCTTCCTCCCTGATTATATATCTTTACAACACAAATTTATGCTTTTCTCTTTATTGATATGAGAAGTTTCTACACAATGCCTGTAATTCATTCTGAGTGGTTGTAGTTTCTCTTTTATAGTCATATTTACATACTGATTCCTTCTGAATCCCCATGGTAGCCCTGGCAACTGAGGCAGAAGATCCCTGTATTATGAGTGCCCAAGGCAGTTGAGGTTTGCTGGAGTTCTGCCATAAACCAAAGTCTACTTTGTCATTTTCCTACTTTTTTGTTTTTTTGCCATGTCAGTTTCCTGACTTTCAAGACTGAAATAGTGCAGATTTTTTCCCTGCTGCTCCCAGTTCATTTCCCTTCTTCCTTAAAGTCCAGCTGCTTCATACATATTACTTCATAATACTATCCCTTCTCCTTGTACTTACCTTATTACCTTCAGAAATTTTCTTATTCAGTCCTTCTGCCTGCTACTAATGCAGTCATCACTCTTAATACCATTCATCACATAGACAGTGTGTTCACTAGCGAGGCTTCTAAGTTTCTTGACCTCCTCTATCCTGAGTCTTTCCCTTCTCCAATCCTTTTCAGACTTGCTTCCATGATTATAGACCATTTAAGGAACAATACGGATTTTTCAATATTTCTATTTAAAGTGTCCTATCGTTCTACCACTACCTCCCTTCTGTTTACCTCACTAACTCATACAATTCTTCTATTTCTCTGCGCTCTGCAGTTCACAGAGCCCACAACCTTTAAACTCTCATGTTTTAATTCTTACATTGTTTTAATCATATTTTAATGTTTAAGACTGTAATATCAACCCCAATTAAATCCAACTCCTTGTAGGTTCCTATGAATGGCAGAGTTGGGAAGGGCACTGAAAACCCCCCTGGGGATTTGTTCGATTTATCTTCTATAATTGTAATAGTCTTCTCCTAGGTTCCTCTGCTTCTAAGCTTGACCTCCCTCATTGTAGCCACCAAATCAGGGTCTACTCTCAACACAGAAGTCAGAGTGATTCTTTAGGTTAGATGTTGTCAGTCTTTTGCTTAACTATACAGCAGCTTCCCACTTCACTCAGAGAACAGCCTACAGCCTGAATGTGCCTACAAGGTCCCAGGTGATCCCCCTCCCTGTTATGTTCACTGCCTCCTCTCTCTTCCTCTTTTCCTTGCTTATTTTTTCACAACCACACTGGCCTTCTGGCCATTCCTCAAATACACAAGGCACATTTCTGCCTTAGAGCCTTTGACCAAGCTATTCCCTTTGCCTGGAACATCCTTCTCCAAAGTATCCCAGTTAGGCCGGAAAGAAGCTTTAATTATTCTAACAGTGACAGAACAGTTTCCTAAAGCAACTTTTCAATTTTTATACATTTAACAATTCTCCGTTGCTCACCAGATAAAAAATTTGCTTTGGAAGGGCATTTGAATTTGTAAACATTCGGATCCTATCTTATCCTATTTTTGATGACTGAATAATATAAATGTTACTTATCAAACACACTTCATACCCTTACAAAACAGTCTTACACAATTTAATGCCTGTTCATACATTTGCTCCTGTGATTTCTACCACCTTCTTCATATTGTTCGATCCTTCTAATCACTCAAGACACTATCAAATGCTTTCCTTCTCTGTGAAGCAGCAAATGGTTCTGTTTACTCTGTTTTCATGGTGGTATAAAGCAGATACACATTTTGAGAAAAAAACAACTGTGAAGATTATAGAAATTAAACCATTTTTTCCATAATTTTGAAGGTTAGGAAGTTTGGAATAGTTAAGCTATGCTTTCCTTCTATTCAAATTTACATTCCCCACCACCTGAAATCTTCCGAGAGAGATTTCCCTCATTGAAATTAAAAACACTTGATACAGGGCGGGGAAGGGAAGCGCTGGGTAGAAAAGGGCAGGGTCCCTGGTGAGGGCTCGACCCTCTGGCCTGTGCCCACGGACCTAAATGAGGACAGTCATTTCTGTTTTTGCACTCAAAAAGTTGCCTTTTGGCCCACGATGCCCTCCATCCTGTGCCCATATAAATCTGAGACCTTAAGCAGAATCAGACACAAGAGGCTGGACATCGAGATTGCTGAGGAACACACCAGCAGACACAGCAACAGGCACTGGCAGACCAGATGAGAAAAGTTGAGTACAAGGGCAAGGCTGAGAAAGGGCAGCTCCTTTCTTGGGAGCGCCCACCATTCCCATGGGATGGCAAATGCAGGAAGGCAGAGAAATCTACAGTGTGGGTAGCCAAGGTTTATTTTACTCCTGTGCGTTTTGAGCAGGAATAATTTTTGAGGAATCCTCAAAACCTATTTCCTACATAGGGTTTCTTACGTTGATACCTTCTCATTTTGTCTTTGTCACATCTCAAAACCACTTTCTTCTCATGAGGAGGAGGAGCAGGAAAGACTTTGCTGAGGACTGCTGGGAGCTAGAAGGGGAAGGGGCAACGGCAGGGTTTCTGCACAGGAAAGGGGTGATTCTGCAGCGCTGTGGCTAAACTGCTGGCACAGAAGTACACAGCCGAGTCCCCAGGTTCTGAGGGCTGGATCTTCAGAGTGGAGAATGATGCATTAGGCATCTGAGCTGAGAATCGATCTTTGGGCATCCCTGAATCATCTATCAGATCCTCGTTGTTAAAATAAATTAGAAACTCCAGTCCCCGCATCATGGTCTGTCTGTACCAGAAAAGCTGCGTGTGGCCTGAAATTGGTTCACATCTCAGAGTCACTTCTTGTCCCATCTCTGTCACCTCATGCTGGGGTGACTGGATAACTTCAGCATCTGTGTGCTCTATGAAAGAAGACAGAGTTGGGGGCCAGAATAGAGAAAATGTCGGGCATCATCCCTTCAGAAGCCCAGCCTGATGATGGTAAATATTCTGAGGACTCACTTGCTACCAGGATACAAAGGGACACACAGCAGAGGGTCCAGGAGACCATGGCAGAGTGAGAGCAGGTGTGGAACATTCTAGACCAGGGCCTCTGTGAGCATGAGCAAAGAAGTGAATTTTGTGACATTTTATCTCCACAAGATGCATCTGCCAGTGACATCACTGAATGGGCCACCACCCCCAAGTTCTTTAAGAGGAGGTTGCATCTCTTGGAGATGAATCAGGCAGAACTGAACTCAACTGTAATTGATCTGAGATACAGATGCACACTGGCAGAGGCTCCATGTAGATTGGTTTTGATATTGTCAATTCATAGTACCTTCTCCAGAACATGCCTTACCTAGAAGCCTGTCCTAGAAGCTGAAAAGAAGAGAAAAACAGTTTTCTCCTAGAGCCTTGAGAACGAATGCAGCTTTCCCAAGGTGTTGATTTTGATTTTTTCTGGGTTTTGGACTTCTGACCTCCAGACCTGTAAGATAATAAGTTTTTGTTGTTGTAAGCCACCAAGTTAGTGAGTATCTTATAGTAGCCATGGGTCTGATGGGTGAGAGGCAGAAGCCAAATACAAAATACAGGTAGGGACAGGTGCATGATCACATGGAAGGAATTTAAAATCAGGCCAAGGGAAGCCTAGAAAAAACATCTTATGTCTACCCAGGACTCATCTTCTTCCAGGGGTCACGCCGAACTATACCTCTTAAGTGGATATGCTGGTGGCATCACTGTGATTGTCAGCTCCCTGGGGACAGGGTCCTTCTGATGTGGTCCAGGCTAGCACCTCCATTTCTTGCAGTTCTACTCTCTACATTCAACAGAGAAGGTAGGGTTGGCCTGGGCTGGTTTGGGTCCAGAAAGGGTTGGTTACTAATTCCTTTATTCCCAGTCATCATTCAAGACATCTGGAAACCAACTTCCTGAATCTAGGTCCAACCTCAGGGTTATCCTTAACCATCTTCCAGGGAGCAGTCTCAGCTCCTCCCCATAGAATTTGGATGACGATGAAGTCACAGTGCCTCCTAGTGGCCAGTAGGCCAGAACATCACCAATGTGCTTTCCTTTGCCAGAAGACAGGGACTTGTGCTTTGTTTCACTGAGTACAGGGGATACAGGACATTATGATTAGTTGGTGTTAGAAGGCCAACAAATAATATTGGTGCTATGGGGTAGGATAGAAACACCTGAGACATTGATGATGAAGTCAGAAAGGTGGAGACATAATGTCAGTTTTAATACTGATAAGCAGCAAGTCTCAGTGTGAAACATGATGCTGAATCCGAATTTAACCCATTCTCTATCCCCTCCAAACTGCCGGCCAACCCTGTGTGGAAGAGAAAGTTCCTCACTGATCTTAGCTCATGTTGAAAAAGCACCAAAGAATCTAGTTTTTCTCTAGGGAACCAGGAGAAAAATGGGAAAATAAGGAGAGACTGAACTAAAATGAAGAGAGCAAATACCATAACTGATTTTCCTTCCCACAGACAAGATTTGGCAAGGAATAGGAAGATTAAATCAGGATTACTACTTTAGGGGCGCCCCACAAAATGGGGTATGTGGAACAAACTGTTGTCCCAGGAAATTGGCTTTAAATGGGGTAAAACAATAGCCACATATCAGTTACTCGCTGAAATTTTGACCACTTGCCCCTCTGGAATTTTCATAAAACAGCACAAATGTACCCCCGCAGTGAACAATTAAGTTAATTTGAAGCCTAATCTGACCTAACTCTTTATTCTGTTTTCCATCTTGCCGTATGGTCCCATGGAACACAGAGGTTATGTGATAGAAATAAATAACAATATAAGAATACTCTATTAATTACATGCCCCAAACAAAGGTATGTCCCAATTTGATTATGAATGTCCTTTAAGTTTTTAAAAAATAAGTATTTGATTGAAACCAGAGTTTAACATCTCTATACCATTTAAGTTAAATATCAGACAAATCACAGACTAAGAACCTAACATTGCAATTAAAGAAAAATTAAAATTCCAAGTATAGTTATTTTCACCTTAATCCCAATAATTAAGGATAATGGCACTTACTCTGTTGTTATTATACAATTGGAAAAAATATCAGAAACAACATTAAAAACTTCAGTTAATTAAAGTCTTAAAGAAATAATAAGGAATAACTTGGCTGGAATGATGGGGAGGGCAAGAGCCCTGGAGGTGAGCATGGCAGTCCTTCTGCGCTGGAGGGAATTTGTGGATCCTGACTCAGCACTCAGGAAGCTGTCTCACAGGCCAGCGGGGTAAAGGCAAAGGCCAGAACATATGGAATGTGTCATTGATGCATTCCAATAGTAACAATGAGCCAGAGACAAACCTGTTCTCCAGGTGCTCCAGGACACTTCAGGCCTTAAACTGTGATTCAGGGAGCCTGATTGTTTATACCTACAGGCACTTTCAGAAGCACAGAAAAATTATCTCTGGAGAAAAATGTGGTCCACCCTACCCAAAATTATTTCTACAGCCATAGTTTTTGGCACAGTGTCAAACATTATTAGATTCGTAGGGAGAAATACAAACGCCATGAAAAATCAAGCACCCCGACTGAAGGCAGCACAAAAAGAAAATCAACAACAACAGCCCACGAAGATCTCAGAGGTGAAAATGATCAGACAGACTCTGAAACAACTGTGTGCCGCATGTGCAAATGATAAAAAGTGAGCTCAGAAAATGTTATGAGGGAGTTCCTAACTATAAGTAACATAGCAGATTGGAAAAAGAAAAAAATAGAAATTTTGACAAGGAGATGGTGAGTGGTGGTTTTCATCCATCCAATTGGTGAGGTTTTTATCAGAGGAGGAAAGGAAAGAGCGAGGTGTGCAATGAGAAAACGAGCATAAAGTCTGACTGCCGTCAGGTGTTAGACTGGATAAGGAGCGGGAGGAAGCCAGGAGGGGCTCATGGACAGTGACAATGCTTTCAGGCAATATTCAGCCAGCTGCTTTTTAGGTAATTCTAACCAACACTTCAGAAGGATTTCTAATATTAGAGCATTTTGGCAGAAGTAGAGTAGTGAATATGGAGCTAGACACGCAGAGTGTATTATCTATCAGAGGGGGCAACTGATCAGGGCAACTTCTTGCTTCAGAAGTTCTTACAAGAAATATTTTAATGCACTAAGGAGCTTTTAATATACAAGCAGACAAGTAGAAATGTCCTCAACAGACTCTGAATTGACTGGTCCAGGTCTAGATATACTCTCGGGCTGAGATGATTACATAGAAGAGTTAGACGGTTCAAGAGAAGTAGAATTCACTTGGAGGTAAGATTTGGGACTAGGTGCCAAGGTATCCATTCAGGTTCATTTCTCTGAACTTTCAAAAGGGCTGAATCACATAGCTGAAATTATAATCACTATCATTAACAACATTATTATTAACATACTTTACCGAAAATAAAACAGAAGGGAAAAGATTTCCGAACACATACTGTGTGTTGAGACTTTGCTAGAGAGCCAGGTTGTCACCAAGGATAACAACCAAGTCATTCACATGCTGACAACTGCAGCGGGGGGCTGCTGTTTGTTACTTGGTATCATCACTATCTGTATTATTAAGTTAATTGCACGTGTTTCATGGGCACATATTTTTATGAGAGGGAAACCATCACTACCCCTGAGGACTAAGTCTCTGATGAGTCACTTGAGATTTCTAGAGTTGTCCCTGAAAAGTGTTTCAAATCCCTGAGACATAAAGCAACAATTATAGTCCTCATGTTTTAAGAAATAGTTCATTTTCTCCCATTACATGAATCCTAACTGTATCTGAAAATTCACTTCTTCCCTGGGAGGATAAGGAATAAGGAAAGGCTGCTGCGAGCCAATAGAGAGGAGAGGGCCCTGCAGTTTTCTGCACAGGAAAGTGTCTCTGCAACGCTGTGGCTAAGCTGCTGGCACAGAGATACACGGCCGAGTCCCCAAGCTCTGCAGGCTGGATCTTGAGAGTGGATTCCACTCCTTTGAGCCTCTCTGCAGAAAATCGATCCTTAGGCAATTGTGAGTCATCTACTACATCCTCATTCTGATATTGAATCAGAAGCTTTGGGCCCTGTCCCAGGATCTGCTGGTATCAGTAAAGGCCAGCATGGCCAGATACAGAATTGTACCCAAAAGCCACAGCCTACCTTTTCTCTGTGATCTTATATCTGGGAACTGAGCAACTCTAGCTTCTGTGAGTTCTGTGAAGGAAAAAGAATTTGAAAATAGAAAGAAGGAAATGGTTGAAATAATCACTGAGAGATCCAATGTGCCATGGTGTTCCTAGGACTCACCTGCTCCTGGGAGACAGAGGGCCAGCAGAGGAGCCTGGTGCCCATGGCAGGGTCAGGGCAGGATGGGAGTTTTGCCAAATTAGGGTCACTGTGAGCAGGAGCAGAGGAGGAGGGACGTCCTTGTTCTCTCATGGCAGTTCCCACAGTGACGTCATTGCCTCCACAAATGCCTACATTCTTAGAAATCAATTATTATAAGCTAAAACAGAGCACGAAGGTACTTTACCATATTCGTAGACTGTATAATTTATACACATGTCCTCACTCACATATTCAGGGCTTGGGGGATTAGGTCTCTCACTACATCTCTAGGCCCGTCCTCTGCTGGACATTTCTACTTGGAAGCCTCAAAGGAAACTCGAAATAAATATTAGTGACCTCTTGATTTATCCTTCTCTTTGGGTATTTCTTTTCTACCAGGTCCTCTGTGTTCCCAGTCCTCTAGGGTAATTGACCCAGCTTTATCATAGAAGTGCATTGAACTAACTGACACTCTCTAAACTAAAGTGGTAAAAGAATTCTCTGAACACAAAGTGGGGAGGGTTTATTTTATCTGAAGGCCAATGACCAGTTCCCTTTTTGCTGTTATCAATCTTCATCATGCATTACGTATCAAGCCTTCACCGGGGTTCTGCCTGTAGTTCCTGGTCACCAATATATTTAAGTAAGTTCTGATATCTTAACAAAAATGAGTGAAGAACACTAATTCCTGAAAACCTGAGTGTGAATATCTAACAGTAAATGCAAAATTGAACAGAGTTTCTGGAATCTTAAACACTTACTCCTCTATCATATCTTACAATTGAACTGCAGTGTTAGTATCCAGCAATTATTTTAAAAATTGCGCTACATTAGTTGTGACACACTTCTCATTGTCTGGGTAGTAGAGTGGGAAGGCTTGAGGGAGTGGAGAAGCCCTGAGAGTCAATGTGAATGAACTAACCAAGGACACGTGTGTTCAGAGACGAGGAATAGTGCAACTCAGCCTAGAGAAATCCAAGTTCCTAAAACCTAGGGGATGGACACATGTCAAGGTTATCAGGTGAAGATCAGTGGTTGTAGAATTATCAGAACTATCAGAATTACCATCTCTTTTTTATATAAAATGTCTATCATTGCAGTAGAAAAGCTGCTAGTCGGAGTTTACCTTATGTTGGCACCAACTAATAATTTCATGATGGAAAGTGGCTTCACATCACAGTGTCACTACCTCTTCCATCCTTGTGACCAGGGGTTAAGGCCCTGGATGACAACAGCATTGAGAGGGTGGAGGCTTGGTGGCTACAGACAGGACTTACCAGGCTGCATGTGATATACTTGAAATGGGGGCATCCTAATTCTAGGAAAGACATTCCCCATATGTTCTCAGGCTTCCCCTGCTTCCTGAGCAGAAAAACAAATAAACAAACAAATAACAACCATGATTGTGTCAGGGCCCAAAGGGGCATCTCGTTGCTTAGTGAAGGAAATACCAGAATTCTGGGAAATCTGGTTCTTGTTAAGAATATTTGCGGAGTCACTGCAATTTGAGATAAGCCTATCTGGAAACACCTACAATTGTCCACTCCCCTACCCTCCATTCCCATTACATCCTCCTGTCCATTATCCAGGACACACTAGAATGGGTTAGGTGTAGGGTAGAGGCACATCGCTAAGGTTTCTCTGATGTTCTCCCAAGGAGGCAGCTGTTCTCTCTTTTCATGGGTCTGTGCACATTCAGGTTAGCTCCTGGCTCTTCTCCATCTACCCCTCAAGTAGGCTCAGAAGCTTCTCCACTCAATAATGTTCTACAGTTCAGATTTCACTACTGAATAGAACCCACTGGCATCAGTGAAGGAAGAAGAGTTTCTACTGACCACTCAAAACACCTGAACACTCGATACTGAATGCTAGAATGAAGCCACGCTTTTCCTTTAAACGCAACTTTTCAGGCAACACTTGGCTCTGTTTCAAAAACACTTGGACCCCATCAAACTTCAGTGCCTCCTGATGGCCAATGGTTCAGAGTCACTGGGCTTAGATTCTCCATCCGTGGCTCAGGGAGGGTGATGGGATTTCTAAACTATCAAATTAGGTCAGGGTTACTATCAGACAGTGTTTGTGGGGAACTGAAGGGAATTCCTTCCAGCTCCATCCGATCCTTCTGTCCTGCTAGAGATCCCTCCCCACAGACAGTGTTTCTGTCCTGCTAGAGCCCCCTCCCTGTTACACAAACACATATTACCCAACCACAACTTAGGACAAGCACTATCCCTCCTCTGCGTACATTCATCAACTCCCCAACATCTATGCATCCTTGACCAACCTGAGGAGAACTCAGAATCTCCTGTTTTAGTTAAAACAGTCCTGTGTATTCACCAAATGGCTTCTTGATATGCTTTGTTAGCTAAGTTTTGTGCTCATCTCAGAGATATCAAGCTTTTTGTCCTCAGACTATAAATTCTCTTATCTTTTGGGGGGGACTTTTAAAAACATCACAGCCTATCCCTATGGAAAAAGTACATTATAGGACTAAAAGAAACCTTATCTTGTATGTTCATTTTATGATAATTATAGAATATTTCAAAGATATTGAAATGAATAAAATAAATACCACCAAACTGAAATCATGCCAACATTTTGAGATCTTAAGATTTTCTTCTAATTGCATTTTAAAAACTGACACCTTTGGAACAGCTGAATCATACAACAAACAGAATTTTAAAATGTATTTCAATTATTAATATCTTTTCACATTTTTTAATCTCTTTTTGTGGATTTTACCCTCAATTTCTGAAATAAAACACTTTATTCTTAATAATTCAGTGCGTTTCCCTAAAAAGAGACCATTATCTTAGATAACCACAAATGCCTTTATTACACTCAAAAACTTAACATTCATATAACATTATTTTCTCATCTATACTTCACGTTCGCCTTTTTCCAGTTGTACCAATGCGTCCTCTGGTTTTGATTTTTTCCCTACAGGACATTATCAAAGATTA